AAAAAAAAAAAAAAAAAAAAAAAATGCAAGGATGTAAGTTGTCTGGATCATAATATGCAGATTTGAGGAAGCCAGTTTAAGGGTGCACAGGCTTTATTTTTCATTTTTAAGTGCTGTAAGAAAAGATAAACGATGATCCCCAAGTTAGGTCATTTGTACCATTAGGTGCACTGTACAGATGTCTGCCATTGAGTAACTAGTAGCAGTAGGAGGCTGTTGTCCTCTGGGGACCTGGTATTAGTGAAGAATGTGGCAGCTTAAGAACTTGGGCGTAATTCCAATTTAGCTAGGGGAGTGTGTTCTAGTGATCCCTGTTCCCCAGCTTTTCTTTGGCTCCTTCTGTTTCTGTCTATGCCACTTAGCTTCTGGCCTCGTGCTTCTCACCCTTCTGCACTCTTGTTAGTCTGTTGTTCCTCTTCTCATGTGCTACCTGGGTAGCAGCAAGGGGAACACTTACAGCATACTTACTGCTTTATGGGGATGGTATGTATGAATTCAGGCTGGCGATAGGGCCTGATAGCTGCTCATTGCAAATGGAATCTTTGGTGAATTTATTTGCCAAAGTCTTGCAAATGTCTACGTAGAATGTGCAGACAGGCCTTTTGGAGGCTTATAAGTGAGCCATACTTGGACAAGTTGACATGGATAGCAGAAAACGTATCGGATACCATGGTCAACCTGTGCTCCAAAGCCTGGAGACATTGTAGCTGTTTCACTAACAAACTGACTTCCTTTATAGATTTTGCCCAGGTTTCATAGTTTCCCTCTTGGAAATGACTGAATAGTTTTTACTGGAAAATCCCCCAAATTAGTATAAGGCAGACACCTAGTGTGGAAACTTTACAGTCTGTGTGGCTTGTTTGGTCAAATTATAAGCCATTGAAAATAAGGTCTGAAGTGCTGGATGACCTTAATTGAAGTTTGCTTGTTTTTGTTTGTTTTTTGTTTTGTTTTGTTTTTGGGGGGGGGGGGGGGGTTGGTGCTGCCTGAATAGGCAACCCTAACTGATACATTGTGTGCGAATGCAACAGGCTTATTGCTGAACAAAGGAAATCTAAGGTTAAGGTGTCTAATATTACATTCCTTGTCCTCCACTTAAGTGCAAACTATTTACCACCAAGAATGCACCACGATTTTAACTCATCCCCAAGCCTTCTAGCTGCATTCCTCAAACACCTTGCTGTCAGCAGGCCAGACTGTTCCTTTCCCAATCATTTTATGTACACTTCTGGAAAATGATGCACAGTTGCTAAACTGGGTGATGGAATTACCTTCATTAAAGACAATAGATGTCTAGAATCCTCTCTTATCTAATGTGACACTGCTACATTTATCACTCTTTCCTCTTCTAGACTGAACTCTGGTGTTTCCTATTCATCAGTCACTTTTACCCTCATATTTTTAGATGACGGCTTTTTATTCCTAGTCCTTTAGGATCATCTTGGTATGCGACAACATAGCTTTTTGCCATGTTATTTATTTTCATTTCAGAAATTGCTGTGTGGAGGCAGGAAGGGGAAATGGATTTTTTTTTTTATAGATGAAGTCTAAAAGGGAAAATATGTTTTATAAAGGGAGGCACACTCCAGCTGTGAAGATACTAATAGCATCTTTCAGCGCTTGCTGCTCCTGTTCAGGGATAAATAATTTGGCCCTAAAAACTGCAACAAAATTAAGAAGTGAGTACTTCAGCTGTCAACATGAGCACCAATACAGAGTCAGCTGGGTTTGGGGAATAATTGGGCATGCAGTTCCTCCTCCTCCCTGTCTCCAGGGGGTGGATCATGGACCAGGAAGTTCCCTGTCTCAGTTGGAATGGGAGAAGTCACCACTTTTGATGGTTTGCTGATATCTTCATTTTTGCACAAAAAATAACTAAGCAGTGGTTTTAAATTTTCGAATTGGCCAAAACCTGGGAGATTTGTTATCTTTCACTGAGTCCATTTTGGCAAGAGTGACTTTTCACTCCCAAACGAACATTGCATTCAGTTAAATTGATTGCTTTATAAAAGGACTTTATAGAAAAGGACTTGGCTAATCTGCCAGTTGGGGACCTGCAGATCAACAATAAAGGCAAATGTTGTTTGTTCACTGCTTAATAAAGCTGGAATTTGTCATTTTTGGCAGAGCTGAGACTGGGCCAGTGCAAAGAATGTGATCCCAAAAAGCTAACACAGCAACCAGGTTTGACACTTGTAATAGTGTTCATCTCTCATCACTGATGTTCTTTGCCCTATGAAGTTAATTATTCCACAGTGGAGCTTCCCCACCCTTTATTATTGCTTAATTTAACTCTAGTATATTTAAAAGATATTACTTTTTCCATCTTGCCCCCAGCTCATGGCCATTTGGCTAACTTTCACTAGAATAGCTGGCTTTATCAGATCTGTTGCTAGCTTACACCAAGAATACTGAATGGACGTGAGAAACCCAAGGTACTGGGTTGAAGTTGGCACTTTTTGAATGGCGCTTCCAGAAGTGAGGATTATTCAAGGTGAAAGAGAAACCTGATGTACAGACAGACTCTTTTTTTTCTCTCTCAAACTTCTTATTTAAAAACTTTCTAGAATACTGTAAGTTTTGGTACTTTATACTATATTTATTAGTGAAGCTATGCGCTAAACATGCCACCATTAAACATGCTGTTTGAGAACAGAATCTGCAGCTTCCCTTCATTCTGATTTTTAGACACTTTCTCTCCTTCTCTCTTCTAACTCTGGATGAAGTATGGAAAGTTTTTCCTATATAAAAAAAAAAAAAACGCAAACACAAACCTGCCCCTAAAAGAAGCTGCATGTGCAGGGCTTTCTTAGATGGTTTAGTGACTTTTAGGTTTGTGTTGGTTTTACAACAAAAGATACAGAAGAAAAGTTTAAGGAAAATCTTCTCTACCTGGTTATGCTTGGAACCACAGACCAATCGGAGTATAAAAATAAGGCGCGTATAGAATGAGAGCCTGTAAGCCTGTTTGCACACATTGCCACCTGGCAATAGGATAAGGAGGCCTTAATGGTGAGAGTGGATTTTGGCTATTG